GTTGCTCATCCGAGTCCACGGTTCGAATGATGCACCTTTCAGTATTCTGCCGCAATTTTACCGTAGTAGCACTTCAAATATCAAACTCGCCGTCGATGCCACCAATGAAATGAACTTCCGGAATCACGTGGGCGTAACCTTTGGCGAACATGCGGACCAAAGGGCTGCAGTTGATGGTGTCACCTTGATGCTGACATCTTACGTACTCTGGCGTCTTTCTCTCCATGGGCCGTATGTGTATTGTGTTAAGGTACAAGCATAACAATCACGTCTGCAAAATAACACAATATTTATTACGTAATTCGGTTTATCCAGAGTCAATTATTTATATTTATTTCATAACGCACTAATTTTTTCATGTTCCCTTGTCCGAATGGATCACGTAGTGAATTGCACTCAAACACAACCCAACCTACGATAAATAAACACCATAAGTCCATATTACCCAAATCTCAAATTTATTTAAAAATTTATCAAGATCTATCATAAATACGTAACAATACATTCCGAGTACACAATAGTCCCCTAGAAGTATACTATTAGGAAACTAGACCTAAAAGATGAAACTCGGGGTACCTAACAATACCACATTTTTCGACCCACAAACATGACTAATTATAAAACTATCAAACAAAAAAACTAAAATATGCAACTTCGGATAACTAAAACAAAATGTATATTTACAAATTAACAAAAATCATAGATTAAACAAATAAAATTACCCAAATCGGTGCAAAAATAAAAACATCAAATCCGATCTACGTGGGCAAACATACAAAAAATTTCAAATCCGATTAACAAATACAACTTACCAATCACCCTGGGTTCCTCAACATGGAACCGAGACATACAAACACGAGACCAAAACTTACACCCTAAACAATCGAACAAACTATAATATAAAATACTAATTTCAACAAAATAAAAAATCGGAAAAAGTCTGACCAAGCACTTACTTCTTCGAGCTCGTCCCGGAGGATGGGAGCAGGTCAACTATTTTCTTCACTGTTTTTGCTACAATTGCTTGCTACTTGATCGCTGGGTTGGAGAACATCGGTTCGCCTAAATATGGAAGATGTAAGGTTTAGAATTAGGGTAATTGGAGTTATGAGAGGTTTCCTCTCTCAACCCAACCCCTGTTAAATCGTGGGTAATTTTTTTTTTTTTTAATTCGCGAAAAAAAAACGCGATATTTAAATAGAAGTATATAAATTTATAATGAGAGTAGAGCGGGAAGTAATGTAGGTATATATGACAACATTTTAAGTATTGATCAACCTATTTCGAGTACATATTGCGAATACATCGTTAATTCAGGGAAAAATATAAAGTGGGGAGCTATAACGTACCTAATTTATAAAGCAGGGACTGCAGTGTAAAAGATTTCAAATATGGACTGAATTGCAAGTGAATTTATCTGACAGGTATTTTAATCGAACTTTCCCTAAATTTAACATAAGAACTTAAAAAGATAAAAATAAATTTGATAAAAGTAATAAGCATGTAGAGAAAATGCGTTAAGATCCACAGGGTATATACTCTATACCATTTTATTAGGTTCTATTTGATTGGTAACCACATTAACAATGCATACTGATATTCCATATATTACTTCATAATAAAAACTATCAAAAAAATCCATATTTAAATTGAACTAATATCACTTTTCGATAAAAAAAAATGTGTTTATTCGATTCAAATATGAAAGACACACATATATATCCCTCTATATATTAAAGAAAACATTATTATTATTTTTATTTATTTTTTAATAATATAGAAACTCGCAATCGCAATTCGAAAGTACAGACCGGGTAAACCTCAGCCGAATTTCAAAAACGCATTTGTTTGATAAATAACATTATCATAAAAAATTTCAGAGAATGTGTCGTTCTTTAGGTATGGTCATTGCTGAATTTTAAAAAATATGAACTATTTATTAGGCATGATCTCATTGAATCTCCAAAACATGAATGATTCCTTAGACGTGGTTATGATGTTGGACATTATTTCTAGAATTTTGTCATATTTTATTGTTATGACGAATTATAGTTAATGATCGAATAATAAACAGAAAACTTAAAAAAGACACAAATTTATGTGGTTCACCAATAGCGTGTTGGCTACATGGGCAATAGCGGAGAACAAATTTATTTACGACAACAAGATTACAAATTACAGATTTCGTATTCCTAAGTCTATTTAAATTAATCAATAAAATACATCATACGAGCTCAACCCAAAACCACCTTCAAAGCCCAATACTATATACCGTTGGCCCGGGGGCACTCCGCGCCTCCGGACCTCAGGCAAGGGGGACTTCGCCCCCCTTGACCACCCCCCCACTCGATGACCGGGCAGCAAGACACCCGGGAAAACTCAGCGAAGAAAAGCATATCAACAATTATAAACATTTGTAAGCTAAAACGGTGATAAGCATCACCAAATGCACACTCCTCGTGTCCCTGTCTTGATGTTTGCTTAGTCTATACATCCATAAGATTTGAATAAATTCAATTTCGCTAAAATAACTAACAACCCTAACTCATTTTAGTATAATCCTTTATTTATTCAAAAGTAACACAACCGTACACAACAAATTCATGCATAAATGAAAATAGGGGTGAGTATTCGAATTTTCGATTCACATCTTGTCAAATCCGAACAAATTCAAAATTCCAAATTTTCTTAAAAAGAAATCTAACCGAACCCAATTAATCGAAATTTAAAATCCAAACCAAAACTTTCAAAAAAAATAAAAAATCTAAACCTCAATATCCAAATAAAAATATTTGAACCAAACCAAAAAATTTGAATTTTGTTTCTAATTTTTTCATTTTTGAAATAACATTAAATATTTTTATCCCTCCACCGGCAGCATCTCCATGAGTACCAGCCGAGCGGAATCGAGGACTTCCACCTCCGGCTCACCCTCCACAGGGCCATCAACAATACTTTCCTCGCGTCCAGCCAGGCCCGAGACAGCCTAGAGGATACGCCGAAATTGCTCCTCCGCTGCAACCGATTATTAATCCGCAGGTCATTGAGGAAGCAATCCGGAGGCTGTATGGCGATCCTATCCGGCTTCCCGCTCGGTCGCATTATCAACGGCCGTTCCCTAATCATATCCCCATTGGCCACCCGCTCCCCCGGAATGCATAGGTCCTAGAATTCACGTTGTTCTCAGGCGAGGATTCACGGTCCATCATTGAACACATTGGCCGGTTCACAACACAGTGTGGAGGAGAGTTCGGGACCAATGATTGGTTCAAACTCCAACTATTCTTGCTGTCCCTCACAGGGCCGGCATTTACGTAATATGGGTCTCTGCAGCCAAATTCGTTTAACATGTGGGCGGATCTCGAAATGGCGTTCCACAAACGCTTTTATAAACAGCTGCCGAAGGTGATAGTCTCAAACCTGACCAACCTACGGCAAAAGCACGATGAACCGGTAGAACAATTTTTGAAGAGGATCCGTAGGGCCGAGAGGCGTCATCGTTCTCTACAAGGATTCATCTCCTTAGTTCATATACGGAGCAAGCTTTAAACTACAAATATATTTACAAAGACATTATGTAGACCTTCTTTCAAAAATCTTCGGACCAAGCTATGTATGAATACGCTCAGCCCGAGGGGAAGGTGTCAAGCCATTAATGATCATGGAAGAGATGAAATACAAAACAATGAAAAGAAGTAGGACACTGGAAGAAAGAAGAAAATTATATGTTAGCTAATCTTTATTACATTTTTTTTTTTGAACCTTTTTGTTATGGGCTTTTGTTGTATAGTTTTGTAAATATGATAATGTTAGGCTCATAAGTAGTTAGTTAGAGATTCATTCTCTACCGTAGCATGTCTATATATACCTTCTATGCATCATCTTCTTCATTGAGTGAAAAATACAAATGTATATTTCTCATCTCTACAGACCCAGATAATACATATAATAGATCGAGGTGAAAAATACATATTCCTATATAACATTCCACAACATGCATTATGTAGTTTATATATTGTACTGTAGTGTATAAAATATTTTTTGTGCTCAATCAATAATCTATCGTATTATGTAAAATTATATAATGTATTGTATATTGTATTATTATGCGTTGTTGTTGTTGCTGTTTTATTGTATATGTACTAATTCGATTAAATCAATATGATACTGATTCAATTAAATCATAATGAAATCAAAGCTATATTAGAATATAGTAAGCAATACGTTTGAGATCTAGTAACACTTACCATCAACATTTCTCAAGTTTTTAGTATTGTTTTATTAAAATGTTCGAGTGTTCAGGTTAAATTATTTCAAAGTTAAGTCCGTGATCTGATTTTAGGGCTCTAAAAGAAGCATTTACTTGGAAAGAATAATCTTATAATTATGTTGGATGAGTAAAAGTGGAATAAAAAGTGCAGTAATTTTGTGTAGGAATTAAATCATAAATCCAAAACTTAAATAGATATTTTATGGAGTATCAAATTTACTAAATTAAAATTTCAAATATCTTCTTTTATATATTTATTTATTCTTAAAATGAGCAAAATCAAATTTAAAAGGCTGTAACGTGAGAAAAATAATAGCAGAGGTGATATAAATGGGAAGCGCATATAAAATGCTACTTTTATAACACTGTATCACTGTTTAGATAGGATTTAAAAAGTCACATCCGATTCCAAATCATCGACCTTTTTTAATCGACTTCTTCTTCTTCCATTTTTATAATCTGCAAAAAGTGTTGCCCTCTCAAAAACACACAGACACTTGCCCATTCTCATCATCAGAAACGATGCCAGTTTACAGAAATCAAGGATTAAAATATTCGAATCTGAAGCACACTGAACAAAGAAACCCCACTAAAAATAATTGCAGAAATAAACCACAAGTGAAAGGGAATATTTATCTACAGTGGGAGGAATAACGGCGTGGTGGAAAGGTTAGGGAAGGGAGAGGTGGGGGTGGGGGCGGGAGCATCTCGTGGTTTCTGCCTCGTGTGTTTACTGTAATATATATATATATATATATGTATGTATGTTTATGCTTTTACTTAAAAGCAAATTCAGCCTTAATCCACTCTTCACGTTTCATTGCTTCCATTTCCACCCTTTTTTTCAGTGGGGATTTCAACCGTTGAGGGAGTCCCTTCTACTTTTCCCCTTTTCTTTGATTCTTCCTTTATTAACCTTCATTTTTTCGAGGACGAACAGCTACCTAATGGGTTCATCCACAAATGCTCCAAAAATGGTCATCCTGCTCTATCTCTGTCTTCTTCTTCTTGCAGTAATACGTTCATCTGTTTCTTCCAAGGTATGTAGTGTATAAACATATGTATATATATATATATGGTTGCATCATAGTGTTTTGTTGTGTTGTGTTGTGTGGTTGGTTTGGTTGTAGCTCTGATGTGGCTTATGTTGTGGTTTTGGCAGTTGTATGTGGTGTATATGGGCAGCAGAGGCCGAGATGGACCTGACGAGATTTTGAGGCAAAACCATCAAATGCTTACTGCTCTTCACAGGGGGAGGTTTGTGCCTTCGTTCTACCTTCTTTCTTCTCTTTTTCTGGTTTTCTTTTGTTGTCCTATTCGGACTTCCGAGTATGGTATAGACTATATATAGATAGAAAATGAAGGGACGATGGATGGGGAAGAAGATGCAGGAAAAGTATCTTGCACTGCTATTTGTTGAAACTAACAGAAATCGGAATCGAAATCAAATTAAATCATTATGTTTGCAGCATATTGATTTATGGACTTCTCTTGTAATTTGATTGCATATTTTATTGAAAATTGCAGTGTCGAGCAGGCCAGGGCTTCTCATGTATACAGCTACAGGCATGGTTTCAGAGGATTTGCTGCCATGTTGGATGAAGATCAAGCTGCTGAAGTGGCAGGCGAGTGACGGTCCCTTCATTGATGCTATTGAATGCTATTTAAGGCTTGCCGATTTGGGAATGTGTCGTTTGTGGTTTGAATTTTGAAATGGATTTGTATTGCTCTTATTTATGAAGCTTGTGTGATTTTAATGGAAGCATGATGAAATTCAGGAATGCCGGGAGTTGTATCGGTTTTTCCCAATACCAGAAGGAAACTTCACACCACTCATTCTTGGGACTTCATGGGCCTTGTCGACGACGAAACTATGGAGATCCCTGGTTTTTCCACCAAGAACCAAATTAATGTCGTCATTGGTTTTATCGACACAGGTGAGCATGTTATGTTAATCTTGTTAGTTCACTTCCGATGGAACCATTGTTTGGATGCTTTGTCGGAGTGTTGTGCAATTTTTTTGATTCGAATTGTTTGCTTAATGTGGTATAAAGTATGCAAGATGGTTGAATCATGTGCGCACTTGAAGAGCAACGGATTGATCGTGTAAAAGCAGTATTTGTTGTTGGATATGAAAACATTACATTAAAACACTAGGCAATATGAGCTTTCGAAAACTTGCAAAAGTATTTTGTTATGGAGATGGCTAAGATTGTTCGGAAGACTTTGTGTCATTTTTAGGATCTATGGGCAGAAAGAGTTTTCATCTTAGTTCGATAATGCTTGTTTTAAGTAAGGTCGAAAACTTCTTGCAGTGCTTTCTTTCTGATACTTCCTTTCTAGCGAAAGAAAAAGAGTAAAAAGCATCCGGTAAACAAATACCACCACAAGAATTTAGTTGAACTTGTGATTTCTGTAACAATGATCACTTTTTTCAGGAATTTGGCCGGAGTCCCCAAGTTTTAGCGACGTGGGAATGCCTCCTGTTCCAGAAGGATGGAAGGGAGAGTGCCAGCCCGGGGAAGCATACAACATTTCGACATGTAACAGGTTCGAACACATTCATGTGAATATTTTCATTCGCAAGAAATATTTTGAGAAATATCTGAGAAACTTTTTCCGGAATAGGAAAGTGATTGGAGCAAGATACTATCTAAGCGGGTATCAAGCCGAAGAAGCTGAGAAGATTGTGTCTTATAAGTCTGCTAGGGACAGTGTTGGCCATGGGAGTCATACAGCTTCGACTGCTGCTGGTCGTTATGTCGACAACATGAATTACAACGGTTTGGCTGCTGGTGGTGCTAGAGGAGGAGCACCTATGGCTAGGATTGCCGTGTACAAAACATGCTGGAGCTCTGCTTGCTACGATGTCGACCTTCTGGCTGCATTTGACGACGCCATTCGAGACAGGGTGCATATTATATCGGTGTCTTTGGGTGGTGATTCTCCGCAAGGCGATTATTTTAGCGATGCCATCTCCATCGGATCTTTCCATGCCGTTAGCCGTGGAATTGTTGTCGTTGCATCTGTTGGAAATGAAGGGACTTCTGGATCGGCGACGAATCTTGCTCCTTGGATAATAACTGTGGGAGCTAGCTCAACTGATCGAGATTTTACATCCGACATCATTCTTGCAAATCGAACACACATTTCGGTAACCAACAGTTAGATTACAGAGTTAACTTTGGGCAAAATATGACATAATCTGGAGTTTTTCTTGTCGGGTAGGGTGAAAGTCTAAGTTCGTCGAAGATGAATGCTGCGGCTAGGATCATATCCGCATCCGAAGCATATGCAGGCTACTTTACGCCGTATCAATCCAGGTGAATCGAAGGTAGTTCACTTAGCGTAAATTGTTGATATTGCTTCTGTAAATCGAAATCTCAAGCTATCTCGGTCTTTAATGTTTGCGACGGATAGTTTCTGTCTCGAGAGTTCTCTGAATAGCACAAAGGCTAAAGGTAAAGTTCTAGTTTGCCGGCATGCTGGGAGCTCGATGGAGTCGAAGCTTGCCAAAGGCGCAGTAGTTAAAGAAGCCGGCGGGGTTGGAATGATTCTCATCGATGAAGCAGACAGAGATGTCGCCATTCCTTTCGCGATCCCAGCAGCTGTTGTTGGGAAAACGGTGGGCAAGAAAATCTTAGCTTACGTGAATTCTTCGAGGTCGTGTTTTATGTCGCGCGAATTTGCTCTTATAGCTCCGTATGGTTTCGCGCCTTTCTTATTCGTCGTCGTATTCGTTACAGAAATCCCATGTCGAGAATTCTGTCTGCCAAGACAGTTTTAGGATCGAGAGCTGCCCCTCGCGTGCCATCGTTTTCTTCAAAAGGTCCCAACATGTTGACGCCCGAAATTCTTAAGGTAAAAGTTAGACTGATGCGTTTCTCTACTTCCCGACGCTCTTTTTTTTGTTAGTTTTTGTTGTTGCTTCCTCAATGTATTGAATGTACTTGGTAAAATTGCAGCCAGACTTAATAGCTCCCGGGCTGAATATCCTGGCGGCGTGGTCACCTGCAACCGCTAACCGGAATTTCAACGTACTTTCGGGGACATCCATGGCATGTCCTCACGTGACAGGGATTGTCGCCTTGATTAAGTCCGTGCACCCTTCCTGGTCCCCGTCGGCGATCAAATCCGCCATGATGACGACAGGTAAAACAGAAATTCGAACAGCTTCAATTCTGAACTCGAGTCAAGCTATGTTCTTGGTGCGTATCGATGTTTCGTATACTCAGAGTGCTAAAAATTTAAAGTTTTGGTGAAGCTTCGACGCTGGACAAGCAGCGACAACCAATCACAGCAGGTCCCGGCGCGCGAAAGGCAGACCCGTTCGACATGGGCGCCGGGTTTGTGAACCCAAGGCAAGTCCTCGACCCCGGTCTAGTATACGATGCAACACCCGGAGACTACATAGCGTTTCTGTGTTGGGTCGGGTACACAGACAAATCTCTACGGCTGATCACGAGAGACAACAGCACGTGCGAGCGAGCATTGTCGACAGCATCTGGACTCAACTACCCCTCCATTACGGTCCCTAATCTTAAAGAGTCGTTTACAGTCTCGCGGACGGTCACAAACGTGGGGAGGCCGCGGAGTGTGTACAGAGCAGCAGTTTTTCCTCCGCCGGGTGTTAATGTTAGGGTCGTACCTAGAAGACTCGCCTTTGTTCGATATGGTCAGAAGATGAACTTCACCGTAATCTTGGAGGCGACTACAGCTGCTGCTGCGTTGAAGGGTGAGTATGTTTTCGGGTCTTTGTCGTGGAGGAACAAGCAGGTGTGGGTGAGCAGTCCGTTGGTTGTCCGGAAAACGGTTTCGAGGAAGTCGGGATTGCGGCGATTGTAAGGGGTACAGACAGACAGTTTTGTGCTGTGCTTTGCTGCTGGAGAAGTGAGGATAGAACAGCTGCTGTGCTGATGTTAGTTTTCTCTTGGATTTGATGTTTTTTGTCACACAAGTTGTTACACATAAGTTGTTGTTGTAGGTATGTTGGTTGGTCCTTAGAACAGACAAAACGGATTCATGTAATATTAACTTCTTTGAGAATCAATTATCATATACTCCCTCGTGTCACTTACTTTTCTTTTTATTCTTAGGTTGTTATTAAAGATATTATTTTTCGAAAAAGTAAATTACTTTTTTTTTTTAATATATTATTTTTTTATTATAAAAAGTAAAAACTAATAATTGGAGTATCACTTATTTTTATTAGAACATGTACCAAAACATTTGACCACACAAATGAAATTAGATGCTTTTATATACATTTGTGTTATATAAAGGAATACTTAGGGTGTGGTCAAAAATATTCATTTTTTTTTTTTTTTTCACAAACATATCAAATCAAACACATATTTTTTTATTTTTTATATTATACTAAAAATTACATTCAAAACATCACATCAACACCTATTTATATCACATCATACAACTGTTTAAATTCAAAATTTTTACTATTCAAATTTTAACTCAAAATTCAAACCCCAAACAAACACACCCTAAGAATCAATTTTTTTTTATATATATATTAAATATGATAAATTGTGTCACTAATATAAAAAATTAATATTTTATATTATAAAGTTAATTTTTTTGTGACCAAATAAAGTATATATATTATATATTGTGTTAATATAAATATATATTATATTTTTTAAATAATATTTAGAAGAAATTATGTAATTAAAAACACAATGTGAATAAACTCAAATACTACATCTGTCCAGTAAAATTAAATACATTTAGGTCCGGTACGAAATTAAAAAAAGAATTATTAAAAAAATGATGAAAGTAGAAAATAATGAGACATATTTTAAAAAAATTAGTTACTAAATAAAAAATATATATATATAATAAAAGATAATATCATTTATTGTAAATAAGTAGCAATAACTAAATATTTTTTTTTTTTTTTTTTTTTGTTGAAACTCCATAGAAGTCGGCCACTATTTGTTTTGCATTTCAAATATATATTTTTTTTCTTCATTTAACAAATTATTAATTTTTCAATTTTAATAATCACATAACAAATGTATTAAGGAAAATAATTATGATTTAATAGAAATAATTAAAGATTAAAATTTAAATAACTAAATAATTTAAAATAAAAATTTATAAATTATGAATTTCAAAATATGATTGAAATGTAAAATTACATTTTTTTAAAAAAGATAAGAGAAATTATATGAGACAGACAAAAATAAAAACATAAAACAAATTAAATGGAACGAAGAAAATATTATACAAATATCATTTCATTTATATTATAAAATTATTTTGTTGTGTTCACTTCATTTATATTATATATCAATATTTAAAGAAATGAGATAATAGTACTATTTAGCCTACACTTTTTTAACTGGAAACTTATATGTAGCTATACGTACGACACATTGCTTCTATAATTGTTAGGAATTTTCCATTCTTGTTACTCCTCCGTTCCAAATATCATTTCCACGTTGTCGATTCTGTCCGTTCCACGTACTATGTCACTTTTCTTTTTTGGAAAATGATTACACATTTTAATCTCATTTTAAATTTTTTAATTTTATTTTATTTTTTAAAATTTTAATTAAACTAATTAGTTATCTTAATCTTAATTTATAATTATTTATATTATGAAATAATTATTTTCACTAATACATTCTTAATTATATACTAATTACACCCCTCATAAAATACCGTGTCTACAGTGTAGCAGACATGGTATCTGAAACGGAAACGGAGGGAGTAGAATATTATTCATTCAATTTGGTCATTTGAATTTATGGCACCGTTGATTTTAAAAGCACATAAATATTATTAAAATATTTATTCAACACAATTATAATATTAAAATATTACATTGAATTGTTAAAATGAGTTGATAAAGCGGATTCACTCATTATCTACCATGGCATACGCATTTCAAAGAAGAAATAGTAAAATATTAATTACCATTAGCATATATAAGTGTTTTTGTTGCTCAAATGTATTAATTTTCTCAGTTATGATCAACAATTATACAACGTTAATTGTTTAGATATTTACTTTTGCACTTACATATTTTAGGTCAAATACTATTTAGTGAAAATAGAAAACAAAAATGAAAAGAAAAAAATCAGTATCAGATGAAATTGAATAAGAGATCAATAGATAAGAAATTGTGTGGAGGTGGAGTCCTGACCATGAGGTAATCGGATTCATCTGTTGCTCATAATTCGCTTAGATTCGCAAAATTAAAAATAAATATAATTACATGAAATTAAGACTTAATTTATTTATTTTTTAATTATATGCAAAATCATAATTTCTAATAAAATATAATATTTTTTATAAAAAGAACATGTACGGGTATTATAATATAATTAACATTGTTAAATTATATCTTAACTATTCATTTTAATTTAATAATTGTAATTAGATAAGGGTATTTTAGTTTTTTTATCCCGTTTTTTTTTCTTATCATTCGGAATCCTTCTACATAGAATCCTTTGTGCCATTCCTTGGCCTTGTGCGATTCTTTGCCCTAGTCATTCAGAATCTCTCAACTGGTGAATCATCTGCTGCGAATTCAATTTCAAACTCTCAATCCAATTATGTGTATTGTGCCCTTATCAACATTTCGATTCAGAATCTTTTTGCTGCGAAATCTCTCAGTCAACATTTTGGTTCAGAATTCTCACTTAGCTTGTATAACTTGTATAATGTGTTTCTAGGATTTTATAATGTGTTTTAATCTTTAGATAATTCGGAAAACTAAATTTGTATAATGCATTTTTAGGGAAGAAGTAGAGAATATAGCTGCTTATTGATTGATCGACAACTTGTATAGATGTTGTTGCTGCTGCATGCATATGGGTAGATAGATTGGATAGATTTTGTATTCTGTAACTTGATTGCTATTGCATATATATATATATATATGTGTGTGTGTGAATTTGTGAAATCATAAAATTATAGGAAATAGTTAAATAAGACTAACTTTGTTGTCTAGGTGTTTCTTTATCTCATTTTTCCATATGATCTCCTTGTTAGAGTTTATGTTTCATATTTTTTTATTGGTTTACTATGTGGTATTGTATTGATGTATTTATTGTAGATTAATTGTAACGGTAGGATAAGGATGAGAAATTTTGTTTTGTTTACCAATCTACTTGAATTAAAGCTATTTGTGCTAATTCTTTTTTAACTATGCATCCATGTTTCTGACTCTGATGGCTGTTGCACTCAAAACTATAAAACGTAATATTTTTTTCTTCTTTATCTGTTAAATTTTTATGAAATAGTCAACAGAGATCCGGCTTCCTTATTTCTCACTTAAGTATTTCCTCTTATTTCATTTTATGCTTTTCAATTTCATTAGAATGAATAAAATAAATGAATAATGGTAGTGAAAAGTCACATATATAATGGTATTGTATTGTTGAATTGTGGTATATTTTTATTGATTGTGTTATGTTTAATTATTTTTTTTATTTTTTTATTTTTTTACAAGGGAGAAATGGCTAGACATGTTTAGATGTATTTCATCCCGAGTAAAATAGCTAAATTGAATAAACAACTAGAGTATGACAATAAAGAAGTCTTTATATCCTATATTGAGAAGTCATATTTTGAAGGTCTTCTATATCTTAGGAAAACAATAATAAATAGTGAGTCATTATTTCACTTAATGAAAAATTGGGACATTGAGAAAAAAAAAACGTTTTGTTCTTTTAGATGGGACGGAATGACATATTACTGATGATGATGTTGCTCGAGTATATGGGCTCCCATATGATTTTGGTAAACATCTCATATCTTTAGTAAAGCCTTCAAACTATTATAGCCAAATTCATAAAATTAGTTAATGGTTCGAGGTTGATACAATAAATTCTATGGGAGTCCAAAATTTTTGGTTATTAGAGATATTAGAATCTTTTAGATTGCACGGTGCAATTAACTTTTGGAAATTTTATGTCATATATTCTTTGTCGACGTTATTAATTCCATCAATATCTCCATGTATCAATAATCGATTCTTGAGGTTCCTTGTGTCTCCTGAGGATGCTAAAAGATATAATTGGCTTGTTGTTATAAAAGACAAGTTGGTGGATTCAATTCACAATTTTTAGTGTAAATTGGTGGATAACAAAAAACTAACTTGTAGATTGACATGAGATATGCATTATCTTATGGAAAGTGTTTGAAATGTGTAAATATAATATGTACATATATTTTTGTATTTCTCTCTCTCTTTTTTGTTTTGTTATTTTCAGCATTTATTTTATGATATAATTGATCATAAAAATTTGAGGACTAGAAGCTTTACTTGCTCTTTTAAGAGACACATACGTTTGGCTGATGTGATTCAAGGTTTTGGGGAAGTTCTAATTGAAATTCAAAATAAATTAGCCGAGGAAAATAAAGTATGTGGTACATATTATATTGTAGAATATGTGTTACATATTATACCATAAGATGATGAACTTGTAAAATTACGAATGACAGAGATCTAGATAGGCATCTTGTTTCCCAGCATGTAAAACTAGAAGATTTTTTGTTTTATAATATTTAATACCTGAAGTTTATGTGAGTTGATTTTGTGCAGAGAATATTACTGTTTTTTCTTTGCCATATGAAATCTAAGTACATATGTTTGCATTAAAAATTTAAAAAAATAGGGCTTCTACTATGTTAAGAACGAATATAGTATTTTTATCTTCTAGAAAAATAAAAATACTTTGTGCTCAGACGATAATGTTGAAAATTCAAAACAAGCCTACGAAAGCAAGAATAAAGCATTGATTTTATAGTTGAATACTTTAAAAAGTGAAAAAATGAAAAACTATCGGCTGCTAGACAAGAGATTGTAGAAATTTGGGATAAATTGTATTTTCTTGTTGATGATATTTTGGAAAATGAAGCATTTACTAAGAAAAATCAACACAAAAATGATCTGAAAAGGTAATTTATAATAAATAAAATTTATTATTATATTATTTATTTTTTAATATATTTACTTATTTTTTATATATATAATGAACCTTTTTAAACATATAACATATTTTTAAGTAATGATAATAAATTTTTTAGTAACAATATAAGATGAC